AAGTAAAGTATCACCAAATCAACTCCAGTGATTCATTCAAAAGATCATAACCAAGCAGAGTTTATTTTAAGACCAACAAAGATGGTTCAACATTAGCAAATCTATTGCTATAATTCTCCACCTTTAATATATTAAAAGACAAAACTATGTGACTATTTCTGTAAGTGCTGAAAAGGCACTTGGTAAAAATTCATCACCTGATTCTGACACTCTTGCTAAGCCAAAAATAATAGATAGATAAACAAAGCATTTCAGGCTACCGGGCAATGTGTCAAATTGAGGAGCCTCTGGGGTCATCCTAGCCTATGATAAATCACTAGGGAAAAAGAAAAGGTATAAGCAGCTCTGGGAGCAGGTACCTGTTCTCAGTAGATAGCATGTTATCTACATAGGCTTGGTCTATTGTTGCCATGGCCTGCATCTGGTTATTTAGATCTTTTGTTTTTTATGTTTCATTGGTGTTTTGCATCAATCTAGTATTTTAAAAGAGTGGGACATATTTATGATTCTGTTTTAAAAATCTCTTTTGGGTAAGAAGGTGTTGATCTACCATTTGAATGTCATAAAGTTATTTTTAGATGTTCCTTGAGTTCATGAAGGTAACATGTAAATTTCTCACACTGACTATCAGACTACTTTTAATTATATATTGCCTTCATAAATGCAACCATTATGAATTCTGAAGCCTTAGCCTGAAGCTGTTGAAAATCAGCTGCTTAATCTTGTCATATTTCACACATCAGCTTCATTGCATGGCATCTTTCCCTAGCTACTTAATGTCAATCTCCTACCCCAGCCCTGTAGGTGAATGTCACAGCCACTAAATTGGGTGTCAGGAGCACTGTGGCCCTCAGCCTTCTTACAGTCCCCACATCATACAAATGCTGCTGCTGTGATCAGTACAATGAGCATTCAGTTATTTTTCCAATGTCAAATGGCTTTAGGGGAACAAGCTGCAGCTTTTCTTTGTAAGCCAGTGTAATATTTGCAAGATAACTAACAGTGAAGTCAGAGGTGCAATCCTGTGACTGGTGCAAAAGTAACAAGCCTATCTTGACAATCAATGGCTCTTGGTTAAGGAACATTTCATTAATATCTCTGTGAGGAGGTGAGGGAGAGAATACAACAAGATAGAAATCCAGACGAAATTAAAGGGTGTCACCAGAGAAGAGGTCACATGGTTCAGAAAAAAGTATTGTGCCTTTATTAATGGCCATTTCTCAACTGCCTTCCCCATATATACACACCAGCAAGGGACCCACTATGCCAGCCCCTGGGAAGTATAGTTCAGGAACCCCCTCCCCCACCTACCTCCACTCACTGCAAGACTAGTCTATAGTCTCTAGCTCCTCTGAAATATTGGTGAATAATTATTTTTCCTTCCTATGACATTGTTCTTCCTAGTCCCCACTTTAGAGTGCCAGAGACTGAATCTGTGGTCTATCCCCTGCTGTGTTGATGATCAAATGTGAGAGGCAACAGGCTGCCTGGGAAATGGTTGTGGTCCACCCTGCTATTTAATGGAGACTCGGCTGTCACAGTGCCAGGGAGAGTGTATGTCAGGACTCAGCATTTTCAGTTCCAGCCCCTGAGTAGCCCCTTTGCCCCCATATTTAATTATCTGAAAAAGAGTAGGCATTTAGTGCATATCAGTCTGCTTCTATGAGAGGAAGTCTAGAATTGGTTGGTACTGTATTTGGAAAGCAGCTCAGCTCCGTGGGGTGAAATGTCTGCCTTCTCATAAGCCGATTGCAAGTTCCAGGATTCGGCTTAAGTGGGCTGCTGTCAGAAAGAAACCTTGCCTTGTTACTCTGAATAAGGAGTCCCATAAAAAAATACCCCGACACAGCCATTCTCATTAAAATCAGTTGGAATTTTGGACAAGTCTTAAGTATAAATTATAACTTTATTAGCCCATAGAGCTTTCTCACAAGAAAGTAAATCTAATAAAAATTAGAGGGAACTTATTAAGTGGCTGCCTTGTTGCTATTTGCTTGTTTCTATGACTTGGGGGGTGGAATAATCTAATTGTGGGGTTTGCAACCAATGCACTTTTTTGTTGTGGACTAGAGAGCAATTCAGAAAGCAGATATGAGGAGGTGAAAAGAATATGCCTCATTATCATTGCACCGAGAACTCTTTCATTGATACTTTATGTAAGCATTTTCTGCCATAGAGTTGGGAAGATCTTTAACTGTTACTGAGAGTGGAGAAGCAGGCTCCAAATTACCATCAGAGGTCACCAGAGCATACTACTTATTCACAAAACTGCACAATCACCTTCCGGAGAAGAGATTGTAGGGGAGCTCACCAGGCTTACAATGTACAAAAGGCAGATCCTGGCAATGGTAGGGAAGGAGTTGATGGCATGAAGGGAACTTGTAATCATTGCCATTGTGATTATTTGTTATTCAAGACATAAATGTTGGCAAGGGAAGCAAAAATGATATTCTTCTACACACCAGCATGGCCATAAGTGTGTATCTTTGACTTTTTGGTTTGATCACCAACTTGAACTGGTCAAATGCAATCTTGAAAGAATGCACTTTAGAATCATAGAGTGTTAGTGATAACGGGGGGTTATAAAAATGACCTAGTACAAAGGTCCTTAATCTGAGAATATCATTTCAGGAGGCCAGTGAATACTCCCTAGAATTATATGTAAAATTTTGTGTGCATATGCGATTTTCTAGGAAGAAAATCCATAACTTTTATTAAATTCATAATAAAAAGTTCCCTGACCCAGAAAGGTCTAAGAACCACTATTTCTAGTACCTACTCTGCTCTCCCCTCTACACACACACACACACACACACACACACACACACACACTTTGTTACCGATAAAGAACACAACTCCCAGAAGTGGAGAATAATTTGCCCAAGACCATACTGCTAAGCTAATGGCAGAGCCAAGAGTTGAAGTCTTTTCTAACTCTGGGTCTGAAACCATGTCTTTCCACTATACCAGAGTTGTTTTAGCAAGCATCAGAACCAAGAAGATTTCAGACAGCAAGGATTTGTGCCGCAAGCATAATCTGAATTAGGTTACCTTCGAGATCCTTTACTTTACTGAAATTCTATTCCATCCACCTTAATAGAGAACAGCATTGACAAAGATGATCCCAAACTTTTAGAAATTATTTCCATTTCATTATTAGTCTTTCCCACTCCCCATTGATCTCACTTGCTAATAATGCTTGTTTAGGGCTAATAGTAAAATGAGTTTGCCTTCCATGAGCCTTCACCAGCTGATGGCAGGGTAGGAGTGCATCTCCATCAGGACCAGCCACATAATTTGCAGGACCCACCGTTAGGTAAAAATACAGAGCTACTTGTTAAAATGCATTAAGGAGCCTGACCAGCGTGGCTCAGTGGTTGAGTGTCAACCTATGAACCAGGAGGTCACGGTTCGATTCCCGGTCAGGGCACATGCCCAGTTGCAGGCTCAATCCCCAGTGGGGGTCATGCAGGAGGCAGCCTATCAATGATTCTCTCTCATCATTGATGTTTCTCTCTCCCTCCCCATTCCTCTCTGAAATCAATAAAAATATTTTTTAAAGTATTAAGGATTTTAAGACAGTGACAGCAGAGCATTTAAGCAAGTGTGGTGCCCTTCTGAGCATGGGCCCCTGTGAGACTGCAGAGGTCACACACCCGTGAAAATGGTCCTGATCCCTATTGAAGCTTTGGTGAAGCCTGGGACAAAGAGGAGCCAGTCTGATTTAAAATTGGCTACACATGATCCACAAAGTTAGAGAGTTCTGTATTTAAAATCAAAAGGACTTTTTGGCTTATCTGTGCAAGTGCTCACATATGCACATGCACATGCACATGCACACATACATCAGTTTGAATAAAAATTCCATCTTTCTCTTCACCTAATGCCAAAAACCAAAACTGTCTCACTTTAATTTTTCATCTGTGGACCTACTGTGCTGGCATTGTTTAAGCACACATTTTTATCACCAGTTTCCATAACCAAATGACAAAAGAAGGAATGAGTTCTTCCAGAGCATCTAATGAGTCAAGTAGAAGCAGGTACTCAAAAGCAATGGCAGACAACCAGCTAGGGATATTTTAAGCTGCCAGAAAGAGGGAAAGAAGCTTTGGAGTATGCAGTGAAATGAGCCAATAGTCTCCATTTTTTAACATTATGAGAACAAAAAGCATTTAAATTCAAGAATCAGAAATTTGGGGTTCCAACAGGTAAGCAGATTTACCAACTGAGACAATGACTGGGACTTGGTGCACTTGAGCTATGCAGACTTCAGTACCCAAGCTACCACATCCCATACTCCCCATTTTAGTGGCATACCAGGGTTCCAAGCTTAATGCACAACATCTGTGCTTCATAAGACTTGAAGCCAAATGTTGGGTGATGTCCCATTGGTTAGCTATATACAGAAACCAAAATATAATGTGCACAATGTGGAATTTACATTGGAAGCACTTGCAACACTCTAAGCAAACTCAGACTCCTCAACAAACTAAAGGCCAGTTAGTGCAAGAGAAAATATAAATTGGGCAAATTAATTTTTATTAGACTCATGTTGTCAGTTGTTGTATAAGGGTCCCAGTACCTCACAGCCAGCTTCATAAGTGCATTTTGCAGTCTAGAGAGAGAAGAAACCAGCACTTCTTCTACAAAGGTAAAGAAATAAATCATGTCACCACAGCTTAAGTCTTCAGAGAGCTTATTTCTCCACTTTTACAACGTAGCTTCCAACCCAAAATCCCATACTAAAGCTTAATGCTATAAACATATGGTAGATGCCTAATGACAGTACTCATTCACTCATTCATCCATTTATCCAATATGCACTGACTGACCACTCTTGGATGCCCAGTGCTATGCTAGGCACTGTGCTGAACTGTGTCAAATTTCAACCCAAGTCAGAATTCAGTAGTAAATGCAATATCCACAGAATTATCAACAGGGTAAAAATGAAACAAATTTTTTGAATTTTTTCTAAAGTGTTATTAACTCTTTGTTTGCAGTATCTGTGGGATATGAATATGAAACCTGCCCTGACTTTATTCTCTGGGAGAAAAGGACAGTCATCTTACAAGGTTTTGAGATGGATGCTTCTAACCTAGGAGGCTGGTCATTAAATAAGCATCATATTTTCAATCCTAAAAGTGGTAAGCAGCTTTTAAAATATTACTTAATACTCTTTTCTTAATGCTATATTACATTATATATTACATTATTCATTGTAGAAAATTTGAAAAATTACAAGGAAAAAATTGCCTGGGGGTTCACAACCTAGAGAAGACCATGTTAGTTTATTTCCTTTCAAATATAATAATCTGATTTCCAATTAGTGCTAGTATAGTGAGACCTCTTCATCACAAAGTTATATGGAACTGGGTTTTGCTATCTTTATTGCTCTATCACAAGTGATAAACAAGTGTATCTGACATTGTAACCGACTTTTTAAAAGTGGAATAATAATTGGCATATTTCATACAATCTAAGACACCCTCAGTTATAAGTACACTATTATTTTATGGAAAATGCTGCTGATTAAACTATGATATACATTGATTGTTAGATAAATACTTATTTTAGAGGTGTTTAAATGTGAAGCAAAATATACACCTGAGAATTAAATAATCATCTATATAATGCAGTTTCAAAGGGTTTAGTGAACTTTGTCCCATTTTAAACACAGCAACCCTACAAAATGGCATTAACCTCATTTGAAAGATCAAGACTCTGAGACTTAGATAGTCATGTGACCTTCCCCAACATTGCAGTCAGTAAGTAGCTAGAGCCATGTGCTCTTTCTCCTACATGGTAGCTGTTTAGCCACATAAATATCAGTATGTCCAATAAGAAGGTAGGAGTAAAAGGACAGTGATGGGTAAAAGAAGAGAAGAGCTAGGAGGGGAAGAGTGCTTTATTGGGTTTCTCTTAGTTTAAGGCTCCCAAATCCTGGACTTAGGAAAAGAGGAAAGAGCAATGAGAACAAGACATCATCATTTTCAGTGTTTTCCTTCTTTGAACCACATTTTCTGCTGTCACTTTGTCCTAGTTTGTAATATACATGTTATATAAATCAGGAGAAGGGACTGCAGGTGGCTCTTCTGCCCATGTGTCTCTCATACAACTGATTTTGCCACCCTGGTCATAAATGCTTCATCATAGTTCCTCCATCTCCTTTTGCATCCTGCTGGAAAACCAGTCATTGGTGTTTCCATCCAGTTTTCATTTGAGCATCAGCTGGTAAGTTTTCACTGAAATCACATTCCTTTTCATCTAAAGAAGCAGATTCTTAGCAGCCTTCAGTGGAACATGTACTTTGGGTTATTTGTCCAGGATTGGGGTATGAATATATTGAGGCAGCTACATTCTTGCATTTAGCCATCCTTGTATCTACCTTACCTTTGTGGACCAGCTGGCTAATGTCCAGTTATCTTTTAAGGTCATGAGCTAAGAGATCCATTTAATAATCAAATCTATTATCTTACTTCATTTGCACCACTTACTTCATTTGGATCAGCCAAGCCAAACAGCCACATAGGCTGGGAAATTTTGGTTGGCAAAGCTAAGCAGTTTCACTTCAACCATAGAATGAGATCACCTCCCATATTCCCAATGTGGGATCCTGAAGGTGAATGATTCCATTGCTGTATGCCCCTGTTATACCTCCTCCCCCACTTTCAAGGAAAATTCTAAATTCTATTTCAAATTGCTTATTTTTTTTAAGAGCATAGATTCAGGCACAGATATAAAATGTCAACTTATTTTCCATTGTCAAAAGGAGAATCACAGTTTTAAAAGTACAAAAACGAAAGGGCAGATGCCACTTATTAAATTATTAGGTTTTTTTGTTTTGATTTGAAAAAGTTTGACATTTTAAGCAGCCATTTCTTTTCCACTCACTTTTATTGGCTTGTATGGATTGTCTCTTTCAAATGCCTGTCATTGACATTAAACACAAAATGAGAAATGACCTCAATCGAGCCAGCCCCCAGCTGTGTGCTCCCAGTCCTGTATCCTCTTATCATTTGCTTCACACAGGTTTAAACATTCAGAACACAGGGGAGCCATTCAGAAAGTCGGCTTTGGGCCCCTCCTCACATTTCCACAAATGTATTCTCTATACCTCTTATTCTCCAATAACTAATTTTTAGGTAAAGGTACCAATTTATTTCTGAGACTCTTTTTAACAGCTTTATTGAAGTATAATTTATACACCATAAACTTCACCCATTTTAGGTGTACATTTCACTGACTTTTAGTAAATTGTACAGTTGTGCAATCTTCACAACACAGTTTCAGAATATTTTTATCACCCCCCAAAAAAACCCTGTGCTCACCCCAGCCCCACTAAATCTGTTTTCTGTCTTTTTCTGAGAATTCCATCCTGAGAAAGAAACCTTACTTTGGATAGTTTTTATTAAAGGAACATTTGTTCATTTTATCTTCTCATTTGTAGGCACATTGTATTTCTAACCAGAAATTGGTCACACTTGCCAGGAACAGATCTGAAGCCAGCTCTGCCATTGCCTTTCAGCCTGACCTTGGACTGGAACACCTCTCTTGGGACATTTGTGAAGTCTAAATCCCACCCACAATGGCAGTTTTAGAAGCAGGAATGATAAGTGTGAGGGAGCAGCTTTGGGAAGACCAATTTAGAAAGCAATGCTCTTTCCCCCTCAGGTCAGACAGTCTTTTCTGGCTGATTAAGGCAAGAGCATCTTTTCTTCAAATTCCCCCACTCCACTTCTTTCTGGAAAAAGTCTAACTCTTTAGGCACCCTGCTTTTTTGATCTGAGACAGATAGCAGATTAGAAACAAGAATCTATCTTCCCCCAGTTTTCTCTCACTGGTTAAAAAGACACCTGTAATTAGATTGGATGTCTGCTGTCATTCAATTCTCGAGTTTTTCTTTGGCTCTGCAATCATTAAGCAGTGGGTAGTTTCTAGTAGGCAGTGTTTTCAGACCATTTGTCATTTTTGTTGCAGCAATTATATTTACCTGACAATTAACCATTGGTTGTGGAGAATTATTTCCAAATATTATGCCTGATACATATAGAGAGAGAGAGATGGTTCCTACTTTCACTGAAATAAAGAAACATCAGGAACTTGTGTTTTTAAATATTATTCCTTCAAAATACATCTTCTCAGTGATTACAGAGATTCCTTTTAAGGTAAATCAGTTCTTTAAAATTGTGTGAAATAAAAATGTGTACATGAATCCATTTATTGCAGCGTGAGCTGTTCATTATAGATCTTCATACCAAACGGATCCCCTAGTGTTCCCTGCAGTTGAGTGTTAAAATTATTCCAAAGAACAATCCAGGATACTAATTGGGTCTTGTCATCTGTCTGAAATGGATGAAGGATTTTCTTTAACTTGGCCTCCAAGATAGACCAGCGGTGTGTCAACAAATGGTTTTACTGGGAGGGGAAGTAAATTTCCATTGATCACACTGGCATATCTCCCAGTTTGTGTTTATATCCTCTCAGTCAAGTCCTAAGAGAAATATGTATTGTGTCTCTTGTTGTTCATAAGTCTGAAAAATGGTTTCTTCTTTGAAATCAGCGTAAAGCACCACCCACTGGCTTCCAGAGGGAATTTTTATTTCAAACTTATTTATAAGCTTCAAAAGAAGTTCTGAGCAAAGTAGCAGGAGGCTATGAGTAGTGTGTTTAAAAGTATGCTTAACTTATTACACAACAGACTTGGCTTTGGGGGCAGAGAAAAGAGAAACATAGGAGAGAAAATGTGCAATTGGATCCACCCAGTGTGGTTTCTTAGTTGACTGTAAACAACACACCCAATCCTTAGCAGGGAGTTGGCCTTCGTGTAAATAATGTGTGATATCCTAGGTTTATTTTTATTCTGTTTTCAAAATGAGTATGTATAGCAGAATAAGCTGGAAGGGAGGCAGCCGTAATTGATCAAGATTTCCAGGAACATAAACAAAATATTTTCAAAGCAACCTTTTGCAGAAGAATTGGTGTTAAATCATTGTTGCTAGATGGTATGCCCTGGTTCTATGTAATGGAAGGTTAAACAGATTCTTGAAACAACAAAGACACCCTTCAAAATGATCTATTCTTCCAGGGCAATACAAAAGGGGTTTGCCCATTTTTGTTTTGATTGCTTCAGCTTTAAACAGGAATGGTAATTTCAGTACACGGGCACTTTAGTACCTTGCATGAAAGCAAGACATCAATTCTTGAGATGTAATCAGAAAGTACATTGCCTTATGTTTTATTTCCTTTAATCATTCTTCTCCTTTGATGGAGTGCTGGGCTTTCTAATAGAAAAGGGGAGGTTTAGAATTGCAGGCTTAGAAGAATGGTTTAAAATAGCCATCTTTCGTTTTTAAATTGCCAGGAGCCTGGTAATAACATGTCATTTTGAAGGTAATTGTTAACTATACCGTTACATTGATATAAAAAAAAGAGATCTACCTGGGAAAATAGATGTTAATAGCAAATATGATATTTCCAAGATAATAATTGGAAATATTTTTGAATGATATACCCTATAGTGCATGGCTGAAATACTGACATGCTAAACAGTTGGTTTTTTCATTTATTAGGGTGCATATCATAGTCTCATTGGTAGGATATTCAGTTAGTGATCATCAGGAGATTTCTTTTCACTGATGTTGTACAACTGTCATTCCAGTTCTCATTCACTTTCTCCCAATTCATTTAAATTACAGTATCGATCACACTGCAATTAAATGTTTTGGGGAAATGAGATTCAGTCCTATTAATCTTACTTAATTAACTATTCTAAATCTTAAGAAAAATTATACTGCCTAACAAAGTTATTAATAAAATTAATAAAGTAGTTATCTTTAAGATATCTAATAGTTCTGAAATAAAAGACCAATTTGTTGGGGCATAAACTCATAACTGCTCCTGCAGATCATATGTTGAAACAAGTAGCCAGGAATCACTTTGCGAGGGAAAGTAAAAATACTTAGCTATGAAATCACAAGTGTATAGGATGTATGGGATTTCTGTTTTCTGGAAGGCCCCTTCCAGGTACATATTTAGTGCCATGATGTTGTGCATGTTTTACTCTCTTATTTATTTTTGCCAACAATGTTCCTATTTCAGAGTAACCAGTAATTTCCATTGTAGGACTATGGGACCAAATATTGGAAGTAAACTGAGGACGGCATTTTTAGGAAATGTTTAGGGAGAATAACAGGCAATCGAGGAGATAGATAGCAGAGGTTGTGAGAGAAAAAATAAGACTGTACAAGATAACTGCATTCATTCATTTGCTGTCAGTTACTTCAGTCTGACACATTGGTATGCCTCTCACAATGTGGATGCTTTACCTGCCCTGGCTCATTCTGAGCAGACTTTGACTATTTATTTAGCACAGTAGGACCTGTTCCTTGGATTATCTGCCTAGGCTTAACAGTCTGAAAAATCACTGGGATTTGGATAGGGAAACTATAAGAAACTCAAAGCCTCTTTTCAACATTTACTGAGCACTTACAATGGCTGAGCCACAGGGATTGACACTAAAATGAAGAAAGGAGTAAGACAGAGTGCCTGCCTTCAAGGAGCTCATGTTCTAATGGGGAAGATAGAGAAGTAATGAAAAATGCACCCCATAGTGTGATAGATGTAATGATAGAGCTATGCAAAACAGTTGGCACACAGAGGCGAGAGCAACTAATTCTGCCTGGTCAGAACATTGGGGAAGAAATGAGCTGAGCTCTAAAGGATAGGTAAGAGTTCCCCAAGCAGAAAAGATAAGGAAGGCATTCAGAATAGAGGGAACAGCATGTACAAAAGCAGAGAGGAATGGGACTATGTGAGAGTGATTATAAATAGTACCACTATAGCTAAAACTCAGCATACGAATGAGAGGGCGATGAAAGGAGAGAGTGAAGAAGTAGTCAAAGACCATATAAATCATGGAGGACTTTGCATGCCTTAATAATAAGGAAGGATATGGAGCTATTAAAAGGTGTGGATGATGGTTTGAAGATAGGTATACATGGAGAACAAGAGACCAAGAAATTAAGAAAAACTGAACTAAAGTGAATGGAGAATACAAAACTAGTTCAACATATTTTAAAGAGATAGACCCAACAGGGTGGGGGGTAGAGTTAATAATTAAATTTAGAAAATAAGGAAAACAAGACCCACAGTGATGCCCACATTACCAAATTAGGTAAATACACACATGTAGTACCACTTATAAGATGATTAGGGAGCAAAGGAGGAAAATCAGGGTTTGGTAAGGGGTACAAAAATGATGAAATCAGTTTTAAACTTGTTGAGCTTGAGGTACCTTAGGGGATCCAAATAAAAAGATATAGTAGGTATTTGCACATCAGGTGAGACTCTGGACAGGAGAAAATTTTGGCATGTAGAGGTGGGAGTTAAAGCTGTGAGAATGGAAGAAATTGCCCAAAGAGAATGATTTCACAGGATTTTCCAGCATTTTCATAAGTCAGTATCTCTATTTCCTGCACTGATGATAGATACGGTCCAAAAGAGTGGAAAATTCAAGTCCCTTTCTTATAGCTTTGAAGTGCATTCTAGCGATATGATTTCTTTTCACAGAAGTAGATTACTTTCCTGATTGTGTTTTGCTAAGGTTAATATTAAAATTGACTGATACTCACTTTTCAGGAACCAGTTGCATAGTGAGGGTAATTTTAAGTCAGGCATTTGTGTGCCCAGCATCAGGAGAAAGTCAGTCAGAGATGAAAACTATGCCACAGTGAACAGGACATCATTACAAGTTGGTCATCAAATTTTTTATTAAGGCAGTTAGCATCAGCATTAAAGGAACTGGATGTATTAACCCATTTCACAGATGGGCAAACTGAGGCAAAGCATTGTGGTACTATTGATGGTGGCTCTGAAGTTCAATAAAACCAAGAGTAGTATGTTGCACTCTCAAATTCTTTTATACCAATGCCAAAGCTCCTTCTTGCTTTGCACAATGAGAGAAAAATTAAAATGTTGCTGAAAATGTTGTGTGGTAATTTTTGTTTTTATTTTATTCTCTTTTTTTTTCTTGGATCTAGGAATCATACATAAAGGGAATGGAGAAAATATGTTTATTTCCCAGCAGCCCCCAGTCATATCAACTATAATGGGTAATGGACACCAACGGAGTGTAGCCTGCACCAACTGCAATGGCCCAGCCCACAACAACAAACTCTTTGCTCCTGTTGCTTTAGCTTCTGGCCCTGATGGTAGTGTGTATGTTGGTGACTTCAATTTTGTAAGGCGAATATTTCCCTCAGGAAACTCTGTTGGTATTTTGGAATTAAGGTAAGTCTCTTCTAATCTCTATGTTTACCGGATAAGAAAAAGCAAGAATGAGATAACGTGAAGAGACAAGGCATTGCCAGGAGCAGGATATACAGTTGCCCATATTGTAGCCCTGAAGTAAGATGCAGAAATTAGGGATGCAGGACATAGGTCAGCATGCCTACTCCTCCGACCTGAAGGAAACTTTGAGTACTGCTTTGGCGAACCAGGAAGTGTTGACATCCCTGTATGTGTGGCTTTCCCTATGTGCACTGCCATTACTGACATGGATCTCAATACTTCCAAGTGCTCAGGTAAGTCACTCAACCCCTTTTGGCCACTACAAAGACTGATTGGAAATACCTATTCTGCTCTAGCACATAGGTGTGTTGCCAGATTCAAAAGGCTAACCTTTCTAAACTCTTCAGGTCCAATCTTTTGAAGTGGTCACTTCATATAAAAGAAAATGTAAGTCTGTGTTTACATGGCATGATATAAAAGGAAGAATGAGTTTTTTACCCTTAAAAGCTCTATCCCAATGGGGAGAAAAATGATTAAAGTATTCATCTTGAGACTTTCTTATACTGTTCTAGGAATTTTCTTGAAAGTACAAAGTCAAAACACCTTGAAAGGAATTCATACCTTATAGTAGTTAATGTCCTGAACTATGTAAACCGTAGTTTAATCAGCTTTGTTTTATCCCTTCGGGCCTATAAGACACAAATACATGCCTTCTGGAGTCCTAGAAAGGGAAAGCATCCACCTCCATCCCAGCAGGATAGACAGACCTGTTTCTTCTCCCATAGCTAAATTGGTAGAGCCTTCCTTCTAGTTGGTTGTGGCAGCTTTATCTTTGCCATACATCTTTGGAACTTCAGGCTAAAAGTTTCTCTAGGTCCCGGAAGATTTTGATGCTATAATATATTTTCATCCTATAAACTGCTGTATTAAACAATTGTTGCCTCAGGCATCACCTCATTGATCAGAGACTTTGAGGGAGCATCTTAAATGTACAGAGCACCGTCAAGGCTAGTCAAGGCACATGAAAAGTCTTAGGTCATTTTCATTCAACACTTCTGTTCACAGGACCATGGAGATTTGAATACATTTGGACATTCATCTAAATTTCTCGTATTCTTGTGCTTGCTTTGGAATCTACCTCCCTTTTCTCAGACTTAGTTAGTCCTTCACACCTAGCAAGGGAAATCTTCTAGTCCCATGCCCCCATCTATTTTTCACATTAATTCACTCCAGTTTTAATACATTCCTTAATTAGAATTGCAAACGCTGTCATAGAGAAGAAAGCTGTTAAATCCCTTGGCTAATAAAAAAATGGACTGTAAAATTAAGATTTTAGAAAGATAAAGCACATCTATAGAGTCTAGAGAAGGACTAATTCATACCACCCTGCCCTAATCAAATGTTCATATACCTCAGGATGTCACAGGGACTTGTCATTTCCAGAAGTATATCTCTTTGGGCAACTACTTACTGGGAAACCAAAGAGAAAGGCTAGGATGGTTGTATGCCTAAACTTGGAAATGATTTATACAACATTCTAGATTGTTTTCAAAATCCTAGAGATGCTCAGTCTACATGATGCCAAACATGGACGGAACACTGAACAATTCATTCACCATCTGAAAGTTTCCAGTTATACAGATAGGGACTGTCAGGTAGACAGAGCCTCTTGTCTTGCTGAGCCTATATACTGAACCCCTATAAAACTAATCCTATATAGCCATCTCCTCAAAGAAAAAAATCTTAGGATTACCTATAAAAGCAACGAAAATATTACTATAAAGAAAATCCAGCTAAATATAGTCCTTTTTATTATAATTTAAATGCAAATTTCCCTAAGGTGGAGCAGTTGTCATTCATTGATGAGATTCTCCTTGGTCAAGGATCCTTAACAGTTCACAAATTTGCATTTTAGTCCAAAGCATCTTATGACCTTCAACACAAAGTCATTTGAAAAATAAAATAGAATAACTTGGACCCTAATTCCAAAGTAATTTTCTCAGTACAAAGAAAAATTAGTTTCTGACAGTGTGAAGTATTGTCCAGTCCCTTTATTCAGTCTTACACCACAGCACTGTTTTCTCCCATTGTCACAGCTCTTCAAACACAAAGGCTTGCTCACACACCCAGGCTCTCCCACTTAACCTGAGTCTCCATAGCTGGCTCTTCTGAGCTAACATCCTTTAGAGTAGCTCTTCTTAACATTTTTTTTTTAAATTCTCAGACCCCTTGAAAATCTATAGGAGTGGGCAAAAGTAAGTTTACAGTTGTTGATATGGAAAAATATATCATACAAGAATCCTATCTAATAAAAGAGAAACATGGTAATTGGCATATGACTGCTACCCTTCCCATTGGCTAATCAGGGCAATATGCAAATTAACTGCCAGCCAAGATGGCGGCCGGCAGCCAGGCAGCTTGAAACTAACATGAAGCTTGCTTACTTCAGTGACGGAGGACTCCAACATTCCCCGCCTGCCTTGCCGGCCTCTGAGCTTGCAGTTTAAGAAACATAGTAACAAATATAGACGCTAAACAAAACCCCAGAAACCTGCTTTCAGTGAGCCCGGGATCTCAGAGCTGGAGTTATACATTGTTTCGATTATAGAACCAAAACAAACCAGATACCTTCTTTCAGCAGCGGAGGCCTAAGAGCTGGAGCCTCAGAGCTAAAGCTGGCCCAGAATAAAAAAAAAAAAAAAAAAGAAAAAAAGGAGCAGTTGGGAGCTTCAGTCACCCTGAAAACAGCCCTCAGCCCCTCACCCAGACTGGCCAGGCACCCCAGTGGGGACCCCCACCCTGAAGGGTGTGTGACCAGCTGCAAACAGCCATCATCCCCTCACCCAGGCTGGCTAGGCACCCCAGTGGGAACCCCCACCCTGATCCAGGACACCCTTCAGGGCAAACCAGCCAGCCCCACCCATGCACCAGGCCTCTATCCTATATAGTAAAAGGGTAATATGCCTCCTAGAACCGGGATCAGCGGAGCCGCAGGCCTCCCAGACCGGGATCAGTGGAGCCGAGAGGCCTCCCGACACCGGGATCAGCGTGACAGGGGGCAGCGCCCAAACCCCCTGATCGCCCTGCGGCTCTGTGTGTGACAGGGGGCAAGGTCACAACCTCCCTATCTGCCCTACTCTGTTCGTGACAGGGGAAGGCGCCCCACCCCCCTGATCAGCCCTGCTCTGTGCCTGATAGGGGGGAGCTCCAACCCCCTGATCACCCTGCGGCTCTGTGTGTGACAGGGTGCGGCGCCTCAACCCCCTGATCGGCCCTGCTCTGTGTGTGACAGGGTGCGGTGCCCCAACCCCCTGATCGGCCCTGCTCTGTGCATGACAGGGGGCAGCGCCCCAACCCCCTGATCCGCCCTGCCCTGAGTGTGATGGGGAGGTGCCCCAACCCCCCAATCGGCCCTACCCTGAGCGTGACTGAGGGTGGCATCACAACCTCCCGATCCGCCCTGCTCTGTGCATGACAGGGCGCAGCGCCCCAACTCCCCAGTTGGCCCTGCTCTGAGCCTGACCAGGGGCTGCACCTAGGGATTGGGCCTGCCCTCTGCCACCCGGGAGCAGGCCTAAGCCAGCAGGGCATTATCTCCCGAGGGGTCCCAGACTGCGAGAGGGCACAGGCCAGGCTGAGGGACCCCCCCCTTCCCCCCCCAAGTGCACAAATTTTTGTGCACCGGGCCTCTAGTAAATAATAATACAAGAACAAGCTCTGTGATTTGTGTACTCACAACTGTAAACTTATTTTTGCCTACTCCTGTATTAAAGACTATGGACCCCCTCCTCAGAAAAAAACAGATTCAGATAAAATCATACATATAATTTCAGGTTCTCACATATTTTCCTTCTCTCCCTGCATCCCCTCCCCCAGCAACCTACTGTGTGAATGCAGCCCTTTCATATACTCATGTGTAAGAGTCTGTGTATTAGGTTCAAGAAGAAAAAAATAGTTCTCCCTTCTTTACTCCAACACTCCTGTGATTGGCCATCAGAGAAATTAATTGACTGAATATGCAGGAACATTTTGACCTAATTGACAGGTAACTCCCTAACTGTGTGACTATAGTCAAAAATATCAAACCAGTTTATATCAACAAACATTATCTGTCATGTTTACTGAGAAACTAATATAGTGCTTATTAGATTCAGTTACTTTAAAAGTATCTATCCTGGTCAGTAGCTTATACTGTGTACATTGCATCTTTCACATGTAATTGGTGAATTTCTCCATTTGCTTTATAACTTTTCCAGATTTGAACTTTCTAGAGAGAAATATGTTGATATAATAACGCTTTGCTATCTTAAGAACCATAATGTTCATTGAGTTCTACTGTATATAGATAAAAATTTTATTTTGTACCAATTTTTTGTTAAAATCCGTTAATTTACTTGCCCCCCCCCATGTGCATATAATTCATCTTACTTGGTTGAGTCATTTGTTTCCTTGGAAACACAGACTAATATAGTCATTATGTTATTTGTTGCATTTATAGCTGTACCTAGAAGAGTAATATTTTCAATAGGTTATTACAGAAAGGGATAGAGAATGTTCTGTGTCTTCACTTTCTGTCAGGTTATTCATTATATAAGTTAACTGCTCTGTTCTCTACTTCCCTATCTATAAAATTGACTTCAAGTTAATATTTGGGCATCCTCTTACATGTTTTATAAAGTTTCATTTGTTTTAAGATCCACAGATTATAGTTCTCAGCCCAAAGTTTGATGACATTTTGAGAGAACATAAAGTTTGCTCCTCTAGGATGTCCTTCTAGATTTCCTTCTCTTCCATCTTCTGTTCCATATTGGGCCCCACTGAACAATTCCAGATGCTTCTTGACATTTCAAAAATTGGAAGACTATAGATTTTTTTTCTAACTTAGCTCTGCTGATCTAAACTGTCCCCAACCAAGTTTCTTTCATCTGACCTCAAAAATAATTTCATTGGTTGCCAATCATTTATTTCATCTAGCTGGTCCCCCACTGGCTGAATGGGGGTGGGGGGCGGGAATAAGGGAAAGTCAGTTATGGCTTTATCATTAGCAATATGCCAAGAGCAACAGTATTATTTCTTTTTATTTAAGTATATAGTGCCTTTTGCCTATTCACTGTAGATTTCACACATATGTACATACCTTAGTGCTTTCTTTCAGTGGGAAATTGAGGTAAAAGGAGAGCTTATAACACCATGTAATTAAATGTGAGGGTCAAAAATACAATATTTGAAGATTTTTTTAAAGATAGAGTCATTTCTAATTTAGGTCTAGGTATCTCTAGCGATTTGCTTCTCATGTTAAAGTTTTATACACACACACATATTTCTGTAACACCAAAGGGACATCACAGATTTGTGAGCTTACTGTTAGAAGAGTCTAGAGCAGTGGTTCTCAACCTTCCTAATGCCTCGACCCTCATGTTGTGGTGACCTCCAACCATAAAATTATTTTCGTTGCTACTTCATAACTGTCATTTTGCTACTGTTATGAGTCATAATGTAAATATCTGATATGCAGGATATATTTTCATTGTTACAAATTGAACATAATTAAAGCATAGTGATTAATCACAAAAACAATATGTAATTATATATGTTTTTTCCGATGGTCTTAGGGTCGTTTGACCCCCAAATGGGTCGCGACCCACAGGTTGAGAACCGCTGGTCTAGAGACTCTTCTAGTCCATAGACACTCTGGTGTAACATAGTGCCCATTACATCCATGACATTTGATTATCTCTACTTTGTTTGATCTCTTTTAATAACAGGAAACTTAAATAGCTCTCTAGACAGCTCATTACATCTTTGGAGTACTCTATTAGAAAATTGTTGCTTATATTGAACTAAAATCTGCCTTCATGGAACATCCACTCAGTAGTGGCAAAGGTTAATGTCTGAAGCAGCCCAGAAGCCATGTCCCTCTTTACCTGATAAACTTTTATCAGTATGAAGAGATATCATAGGTTCCTGGGCTTTTTCTTCTTCAGTCTAAATAGCCCAAGTCCTTCAACTATTTCTCATCAACTATGACTATTTCTTTTTCCTTTGATTATGGTCTTTAGGACACTTTTTAGTTTTCTAAATCTAACAGGGATAAGTATATAAGTAAAAATAGGAGACACATATCAAGTTCTCTGCAAAAATTCAAATATGAATACCTGTCTTACTCTCCTCTTGTCTTCTAATTTCAAAAAATCTATTAGAAAACCAATTAAGCATGACAAGAAATGATTTATTCTTTATAAAAACCCTATGTTGTTATTGTTCAAGATGCTGTTAATCTCCACAATTTATTGTGTTCTTTCCGTTAAAATGAAAGAAAGAAGAAAATAAGAGCCTGGCAATTTTTTCTTGGTACCTTGAGTATTTTGGACTGGACAAATGTCAATGTAACATGAAAATTTATCTTGATTTTACTCTTTCCTATACAGTGACTGGTTAATATTTACCACATTGTTCTCAGGACTCAACTCCTGGCATTGACTGAAGGTTAAGTAGAACAGGAATAACACCCACTTGGGGGCAGTTAGCATGCTGAGGGGCAATGGAACTTTTAGAGCACTCTGCTGAAAAAACAAATGGAACCCCAACTTTGAGATTTCTGATAATATCTGAGAAATGACCAAGAACCATCCTTCTGTCAACAGCACTGAAGCTACAAATAGAGAAACACTCATGTAGATTAACTAGGTGGTTACCTCCCCAGTGTGATCTCATGTCTTATCAGTAGCTTTCAAAGGTTCCCTCCAACTCACCCAAAAACATCTTCACTGGCCTTGCATAGTGCCCCAAATTTCTACTCTAGAAAATGTGTTCCTTTAAGTTAAGACATTGTATCTCTAAGCGTTCCCACAAGAACCTCTTTTAGAATGACCCATCGAGCTAAAATCCTCCTTAGTCCCTGGGCATGGATTCATTTGTCAGATTTATTTTCAAAGGAACTGCTAGCTGAAAGCAGGACCCTAAAACACAAGACAGGTAAGTTGTGATAAGGGCTATAGACAGGGCTGGAGCAAGGGGGAGGCTAGTCTTAGATAAGTGTAGTGGCATTGGAAGCACTAAGATGTCAGTGAATGGCAGGAATGGGAACTTGGTCTTCTGAGGAAGAACACCAGGGAAGGATGAGCAGGAAGGAAAGTCTGTTCTTCAACATTAAATATTTCAGGCTAAGTACTAAGGAAAGAAGCTGAGGAGAGCATGAAGAACAAGTAAAGTGTTGCAGCCACCACTGAGCAGGCCAGGCAAATTCTCATGATTCCAGGTCACTAGACAGCAACTTCAAAGTTGGCATAGTCTCTCTTTCTCCATCTCCCATGTCACGAAAATATAAAAAGAATAGGTCGGACATCATACTAAGTGAAAGTATTCCTATTCTATGATTCCATTTATATGTACTATCCAGAATAGGCAAATCCACAGAGACAGAAAATAGATTAGTGGTTGCCTGGGGCTGAGGTAGGTGGGGAATAGGGAGTGCCTGCTAATGGATACAGGGTTTCTTCAGGAGATGATGAAAATGTTGTGGAATTGGATGATGGCAATGCTTACACATTTCTATGGATATACTAGAAACTACTGAATTGTACTTTTAGAAGGGTGAATTTTATGGTGCATGAATTATATCTCAATTAATTTTTTAATTAAAAAAGTATAGATGGCTCCTTTAATCATATAGATACTGAACAAAATCAAAGATCAACTTCAAAATCCTACCATCAGGAGTGTTCCTTGTTCTAAAAAGATTTGTAATTCTACTCCTTTCTCCTCCTAACTCATGGCAAGCTTCAAGTCAGTCAATTGCCAAGTGGCAGCACCACTGATGGGCTAAGGCCCTTGTGAAGAGCTCACACACTGGCACCTCAGCATGCAGTCAGTTGCTAGCTAGACAGCAGACCGACTTTGGTGGTGGCTCAATGCTAAATCCTTAACTAAAAGTAATTCTGAGACAGAACAAGGTCACACACTGGAAATAAATTCCATCATTTTCACTTCCTCTTTCTGAGATATTAATGAGAGAAGCTGCTCTGCATAATATGGGACATCTTTCCAAATTCAGAGTGACATTATTGGCAGGATCAAAAGCAGCTGCTGAAAAGTCAAACCATCCCTTTCCCCCCTCCTTGCTATCACCTAAGATGATTCTGTACCATGAGAACATGTTGTGGGTAAAATCATGTTTTAATGAGGTCCTTCTAGTACTTTCACAACTCATCTTCCTCCAGGAGGATCAACCATGTAACAGTGATTAAAACCACCCTCCAGCACACTCAGCCAGGATTGTAGAGGCCACAAAAACAAGCAAGTGCCCAGAGACAAAGAAACTCAAAAAGGTTCAAATGCCTGAGGCCAGGTTTCTAATCAGAGCTCCCCTTCTTACCTTTTGACCTTTTGTGTCAACCCACAGGATACCTACCCTTTTGAGGCAGGCCAGAGAAAAGGAAAAGTCAGTGGATCGTGACCTGTGGCCCAACTAGTAAAATCCCAGGAATATTGTCTTTAAAGAGCGTTGAATTAGTAGTAGCAGACAGCTTCAAATGAAATCATGTTGTGTCTTTTCTTCTTGCCTGATGTTCTGAAGAATAAGAATATTTTCTAGTTTAGATAAAAAGATTTGTTTTCTTTGTGTTTTTCCAAGTGACATAAAGGGCCAGATTTAAAAGGATTTTAAAATTAAAATGACTATATTTCACAGATGATTATAGTCTTCTAATTCTGGGCAGATTTGACCCAAAGTCAGGCTTGTCAGGCTGCACTCCCTATGTGAGAAGCCTCATAGCAGATCCCAGAGTGAAATACCCTGTGCCTAATGGCTTACAGATCAGGGGCCCCCAACGTGTTCTGCTTCTTTTGATCTGATAGTGCTGTTTCACCCATTGCAGTTGCCCGTTGGAGCTCGAACAGCTGGAACACACAAGGACCTAGTAGTTGATATACATGATATTTTACTGAAGCTATTTTGATGCCAGGGACATTCTGTCATGGTCTAAGAGAAAAACCTTTATACTTTAAATTTAATTTTTTAATATTGCTGAGTAATGTACTAATGTGCACAAGTAATGTCCTCATCTTATCTCTTGAGGTCATATAAATGTCTTAGGGTTTGGTTTGGGATGCCAGTAATCTTGGAATGTCCCACAAGACCCAGTAATAAAACAGGGATTTTGCATTTTGATAAGGTGGCTTTCAAATCAGAAACTAGAATGCTCAGGCCCTTGGCAGTGGCTACTTCCTGAAACCTCAGCCCAGCTGTTTTTAAACCTTATTTTGTGTCTGAATCACCAGCTGAGTTTGTTAAAAATAAAATCCCCAGGTTCCTCTCCCACCTCGAGGTTCTGACTCAGTATGACTAGGAGAGCCCCAGGAAACTGCACACATGGCAAGAGCCCGAGTGATTCTGATAAAAATGGTCCAGAGAGGGCTTTTTGCAAAAACTGCCTTAGAGCTTTGCCCACCCACCAAACAGGATGTTCAATCACCTTGATACCATCTTAGCAGGAGAACCAGCAGTGATTGGGTCCACTCAGGCTTGCATATCTGACTAAATGATCCCTCCCCATAGAGTCTCTCTGACAGCCACAAGCTGAGTTAGGATTGGTGTGTCTGGTGAGATTTGCCCTGTTGAATGATACTGATGCCTCTCTATTTACTTTTACTTGCTACTCGTGGATACCTTGTGCACCCTAGAAACAGAGACACCAGACATAGGTAAGCAAATCACATGGGCAGCTGCCTAATGCCCCTTCTTGCCTAAGAGGCCACTTCCTAATAATGTGCTAACAGGGAAATTTTACTTCTTAACTAAAGTTAAAGGAGTAATGTGAAAGTGAACTTGGAAATTCTGACTCAGGTAAGTTTCTTCCAAAAGAAGAGAATGCCACTAAGTGGGAATTTGCTGGAGGACCAGAATATACTGAAAAGATATGAAGGGAAAGCTTGTTGCTCCGCACTTTAGTGGAAAGCAAGGCCTTAAGTCTCTTCATTTTTTCCTTGGGTGATATCACAACTGAGACTGTATGTTCCAATAGCTTCAATGCTTTCCAGTTGCAGGTAGAGAGAGGGGGAATGCAGCAGGCTTCCTCAATCTAGAAATACAGTTGATAAGAATAATAAGAGACAGTGACCCCATGATCTTCTTGAGCAAGATGTTTCCTTTTTTCTTTTATGTGACCTCGTGGTTTTTAGTTCTTCTCACCAAAAAGAAATAATAAGAAAACTGTAAACTGACCATTTACCAACAATGACACAAAGCTCCAAAATTAATCATAATGAGTATTTCTGTTCAATTTGTTTATGCATTACACTTGTCAAAACTGTTCTAAATTACCTGAAATTACCAAGGAGAAAATTGAATTTGTTCACTTCCGAATGCCAATTGTCATCACAATGGCACTGATAGGATTTTTAATTTGGATTTTGTTTGGGAAGATGCCACTTCCTAAATGCCAGTGCACACGCTCAGCCTTGTTACTTTAGCATAACTAATTTCTTAAACAAATTAGGTTGGTTGTCAAATTGCTTACTGGTAAAGTGTTGCATAGTATTAATTATAAACATTAATTGCCCATTTTACAATCTATGTGATTTTTAACTAGCGTGAATGAAGTGATTTTTGTTCAGTTGAAGGGCGTTGCCCAAATGTAAAACTAACCAGAAGGTGACAGTAAGTCTAACAATGAAGTTATAAAAGAAATCTTCACATATCCCAAATTGCAATATGCATTTAGACATGAGGGATTCGAACAAATTGGAATTTAGTCCAGTGTTTTTTCTTTGTCAGGTTTGGCATGTTTTCAGAGAGTAAAAAGAAACCAATCTGAAAAGAGCTGAAGTACGCTTGGGAAATGGCATGAAATAGTAAGAAATGACATATCAGTATAGGAGACCTTCCTGACTGTTGGCTGTCAAGAAAATAACATTAATCAGATTTGAATTTGGTTTGTTGGGCTATTCCATTTTCTAAAGGCCAGTGCACAAAGTTTAAGAACAGCTGCGCTAAATAGGATATGCTGCTCAGTTAGAAGAAGGCAAGAACACACTGATTTTTTTTTTCTTTGCCACCTTTAGAACCAGAATATTCTGAAGGTATTTTGTACTCTCAGTCACATATGATCTAATTTACTCTAGGTCCAGGCACAGGCTTGTTAGTGACCCTGGGCAAGCCCTCTATGTGTCTGGGTTTCCCCAGCTGAGATTTGAGGAGAATGACTATTCTAACTTCCCTCACAGGCACATTGGGAGTATTTGTTAATAAATGAATGTAATACATTCCAAAGTGCTTTTGTATGAATACCATTTCTCTTAGAAAAACAGCCCATGGACTTTTCCTAAACAAAACCTGATTCATCTGGCTTAGGTGAAACTTCCATAAACAGGCTACCGAAGTATTGAAAGTTGTTTTCGGGAAGGGTTGTGACCCTTCTCCTTTAGTCTAGAAAGATATAAGGGCACTGAAGAAATTTTATTCTGAAGGCAAAAATTCAACCAGATATGTAAACACTTTTACTCAAACCTGTATTTAAGCAGTCTTTGCTACAGAGATGCCTTGTCTGACATGACTGCCAAATCAATTCTGGAGTCTGTTGGGGCGCTTTAAAGTTTATTTACAGCAGCTGTCATGGTGGTTCCAGGGTTGAAGATGTCCCTGGAATCTACCGGATTCTCTTATTTGATGAAGGTAAGTAGAAAAAAGTCAAGTATTCCAATTGGACCTGATTTTTTGCCAATTAAAACTCTAAACTGGGTCTTTCATCAGTATTTGCAAGCCTTTACTATCCTTCACATGCATAAATATGCTTAGAGGGCAAATACAATTACAAATAGAATCAGGAACATGCCAGTCCTTAAGGATATCTTAATTATTCCGATGACCTCTCCCCTCCATTTTGCTTGGCAAGTAGCCAAGGCCTGAACTCTTCCATGTCTTAGTTTCATGTCCTTCAGTTCAGTTTAGTTCAGCACTTACTGAACATCGACCCTGTCAGACACTCTGTTGGCACTGGAGATAGAGAGATGAATACAGTTCCTACCTGCAAAGAGCTCACAGTGTAGTTGCAGGAGAGATATGTGAAAATAAAAACGCTTAATGCCCAGCACCCAGATCTCAGTTTCCAATACCATTCTCCAATAAAAGGAACCAGGGGTCCTTAGAGAAATGACTCATTGTAATACTGGGACAGGGATTACATAAGATGAACCTGGAGCATCTTGTAGTTCCAAAAACGAAGGAAGTGGGAAGGAAGGAAGGAAGGAAGGAAGGAAGGAAGGAAGGAAGGAAGGAAGGAAGGAAGGCCGGCCCCTCACTAGTGGGGGTATGTCAAAGGGGCACACCAGCCAATAAAAATTCTGCTCTCAAGGGTTAAAGCTAGAACAATTTCAGTAACAAAATAAAGTATCAGTTTACAACAGGAGCTTGGAAGGATGATAGTGTCTGCAAATGAGTCAGGAAGCCTGGAAGAGAGGTAGGTTTATGAGGGATAGGAACGGCAGGAAAAGAGAATAACTTCATGTTTGGGAATTGGTGACTGTGAGACATCCGGGCAGTCATCTAGTGGGTATTTGGAGAACTGGGTATGAAAAGTATGTATGAAAAAATGACCTCCTGGGACTTATTCTCTTCTGCTTTTTCCTCTACCCACAATGGATGGTATTGAAATATCAGCATTATTATAGGTTAGCAGTGGCAGTGAATTTTTCTATACTCAGATCCATTACTAGAAAAATGAAGTATCCATCTACTCAGTACATAAGAAGGAAGGTACTTGAATTCTTTCATCTGTTAAGAGAATTTTCCATTTGTGTGATGAAAGGCAGCCCCCAGGGTTGTATACTGAACAAATTTCTTTGAATAACTTTACCTTTCTCTTCCTTAGCACAAGTCCTGCTCACAAATACTATCTGGCTATGGACCCTATGTCTGAATCACTTTATCTATCAGACACCAATACTCGAAAAGTCTACAAGTTGAAATCTCTTGTGGAAACAAAAGATCTGACTAAGAATTTTGAAGTGGTGGCAGGAACAGGTGATCAGTGCCTTCCATTTGACCAGAGTCATTGTGGAGATGGTGGGAGAGCATCGGAAGCTTCACTGAACAGCCCTCGAGGTAAAAAAAAAAAAAATTCTTTGGTGATCTGAAGATTTAATTTAATTTCTCCAATTCTTAAGACCATTGCCATGCTGTAGTCTATCTCAATATGCCTCTATCAGACATCTCAAGTCTATCCCAGAAGAAAGGAACAGTCAGGATTAAATTTTAGCCAATATGCATTAGTATAGTCATAACTGTTATTAAAATATTGAAATGCTACTTTTCTGGTTGATAATTGTTATCCAGAGCCCCCTGAGTGCCTTCCTGATACCCCAACCTCTCCTCAGGTATTACTTCCTAGAAACTCCCAACAGTCCAACAACTAAATGGTTAATTACTAGCTGGCAGAGAGCCTCAAAAATGCAGGCTTCTTCTACCACTGTTAACATTTAAATATGTTGAATATCTCACAGACTCTAGACATTTCTGGCTTTTGCTTAACAACCAACCTTTAATGAACCTTTTCTCCATTAATTTAAATCATTCTTGAAGCTATGTATATTTTCAATTTATATCATCCTTTGGATAACAAATTCCAATTCTTTTTGCCTTCTGTGAAAGCATGGCCTTTCTTTTTATTTGTCCTAAATTTACTTCTCAATCCTTACGGACCAATGCTCGGTTCTATTGCCTGGGATTTGTTAATAAATCTGTGCTCTTCCAATTAGCTTCATGATTTTATAGACCTGGATCATATTGCCATCTTATGCCATAAGCTGAAGGATCAACTTTTAAGTCTGTCATCATAAATCATCCACTCTATCTGCTTAATTATTTACTCGTTCTTCTCTATTCCTTCTTCAAGATGGTGTGTAAGTGTGTGTGTGTATGTATGTGTGCTTTTATTTTAGTTGGTTTTATGAAGTGTTCATTTTAGTGGTTTTTAAGAAGCCAATGTGATCTCTTTTAACTATTATACAAATAGAACACAACAGTTGCACAAAAATTAAAAAAATGCAAAAATATTTTAAATAAAGTCACCCATAATCCTATCACATATAGAAAACCACTGTTAACATTTTAGTATATATCTATCTAGACTTTTTTCTATGCCTACCATATATTTTATTTTCTACTAATGGAGTCATCTTACAGAATGCTGTTCTAAAATCTGCTTTTCATACTTAATTTATTATGAACATCTTTCCATGCCAAAAAAGATACAGTGAAGCCAATGTGTTTAATTTGTTAGATGTTCACTTATTATTTCAAATATTAAGAGTTTACTCTTTAGTCATTTGACATTTGCCATATGGGATTAAATTCCAACCACAATCAAAGTTTAAAGCTTTCCCTTTCTTCAAGGCCATATTCAAGTTATATCTGCGCCTTTCATAAAACCCCCTGGATAATCACAGCCAATTAAATCTGAATTTCTTTAACAGTGTCTACACTACCCAATTAGCACTTGATTATATTTTGCCTTATTTTACTTAGCAGTTCTTTCATGAACGGGAGGGTTTTTTTATTACTGAAGTAAGCTGCTTGAGATGAGAAACTACATCTAATATTTCTTTTGAATCTTCCCCACCTCGTTGGCAATATCTTGCACAGTGTGGGATCCACTACACATGTTTATTGTGTAATTGATCAGTTAAGTAACTTTTACCTACACCAAGTATTCCTAAGAGGAATTTCAGTGGTGCTTAAAGCAGATAAACTTGTTTCCTTAAGGGAACGTAAGTCCCCAAGTATCATGTTAAAGTGTTTTGAAATGTTTTTTTCTTCTCTGGTGCCAGCTTTCATTTCTTACATGTAGTAGGTCCACATCACATACTTGAATATTGAATGCAGAACTCAGGGGCAACATATAATTAGCTCATCTTTCAGGGAAATATGGGCTGGGTCCCACCTTTACACAGGTTTAAAACACTTGTGAGTATTTTAAGGTTTTCTGCATAAGAAATATGGAGGAATCTAGCTTGTATTATGCCTGAAATAGACATCCTCCTGAGTTGCCACTAATATGAAAACCACTCATCTCATCTACCACATTCAACCTGCCACATATTGGCTTTTTCAAATAAAGCAGATAATCGGTTCCTTGCAGATCCCCCCCCCCCCCGGCCCCCTTGGAAAGTAGCAGTAATAGAATCCTGATGAAGAGGATTTACATGAACTCCTGAAGCATCAGTAATGAGAGTGCCAAAATTTATGTATCTATTAAAGTTAATATTAAACTAAGTTTTTCTTGTCATAGCTAGTAGTGCATTTTCCTTTGGCTATATTTACTCATCTTTCTATCCAAAAGTGGCCTTTACAATAACCTGGTATTCTTGATTGGTCCCAACGCATTCAGGAACCCTAAGAACATCTGGCTGAGGATTCAGATAGCTGAATGTCTAATCCATCTAAGACTGCCTTCACTTAATGTACTGAGCTGATGTTGGCAACATCTGCTCTGATACAGTGAGTGAAGGAGGATGTTTAAAGGAAGGGAATGTGTGACTCACACGAAGTATCCACCACATCTCCTTCAACTATGTTAACAGTGCTTGAAGACCCTGTTAGTGATCTTCAAAGTCACTCAGATAGCAGAACCTATGTCCAGACATCAGTCACTCTTGAAAAGGCTGGTCAGAACTCTTAGGTACTTAACCAAGGCACCTATCTCTGTGCCGAATATAGACAGCACTCACCCTTGGCAGTGAATCAGAAGTGAGATTCTCATTATATGGAATGCTGCAGGGCAATTTCATAGACTTGCGTGCAAGAAGGAAAAATCATGCAAGAAGTCATTAAAACACAGTGTGCAAATTGAAAGGAGAGTCTTGCTAATTGCTAATTATATCTTTGAGGTTCTCCTGCAGGTTCTTTATCTCTCAAGAAGGAACAATTTGTTTCTTTTTTTTTCTTAACAACTACCATACACTTCAGTTCTTTCTTCCTTCCCCCTTACAAGACAGCAAATGTATAATGGGTTTCTTTAAGGAGAGGTTTGACTTTTTTTCTTTCCACCTAGAAGCTAATAAAGAAAAGCTAAAAAGCTATAGATCAGTAGAGAATGGAAAAGTACATCTAGGGAGTACCATTTTGAGGTTAGGAAAGAGAGCTTGCCCTAAGACTTTAACAAGCAACATATTGCAATTACGGGCAGGTTCTCCAACATGTCCTTAATTATGCAAGGTAAGTCAAATAAATGTTAATCTGCAAGACAGCTAATTTATTTTCTGAATCTATTCTAAAAATAGGATGAAGTAAAATTTGCTTTTGAGATCATATGTCCTAAAGTTGGAATAAATTATCAAATGGGATTTTAAAAGTCAGCCAAAGGTAAAAGGTCAAAAGCCATTGGATGAAGATATATATATAAGTGGTAGCAAGTTGCAATGAATGTGGGGATAGGGAACCTAGACTTTTTGTTCAATCTATGTAATGCCAGGGTTTCTTTGAATGGCCCTGTGTAAGTTACTGTACCACATGGTGCTTTCATTTCCCTGAACACTAAAATAGACTTAATGTACCATTGACTAATTCTGTTTCACTGGGCTAGTAGTCATTTAAACACTGGATCCTGAGATTCCTCGGTTGTAAACTGAAGGGCTTGGGATGATCTCCCTCCAAGCCTCAATGTATTAAAATGACTACAATTATAACTTACTGTCTACTGTGTGTCATACACTGTACTAGGTATTTAACACACAGTATCTCTAACCTTTACAACTATGCAAAAGGCCAATAGTATCATCCCCACTGTATATATGAGGAAACAGAGACTAGATAGGTTAAGAAATTTACCAGGGTCACAAAGTTTACAGATAACGCTAGAATTCAAACCAAGTTGGCCTCCACTATCCCATACTGTCTGCCCTGCAGCTAAAACCCATGGTCTCTGTTGAGGGTAGGAAATATTGGAAAATGGTTTTCAATCTAATAAAATCTATTTAATGGGAACAATACATTTTTATTTGTAAGATAAATGACTTTTAGTCTACCTTCCTTTTCTTATTAGATCTTTTCCTCTAACTTTTCCGACCTGGTAGTGTACCCTTAGTGTACTACATAGCATTTACATAGTTTGTAAATGTAATTATTCAAATAAATCTCCAGGAAAGTTTGTCACATTTTTTGGAAGAGTCTGCATTTTGGAACTTCAGCAACATTTTCTTAAGGGGTGGAGGCAGGAAACCTTAACTTTATTAAATTTCTTGACTATAACTGGTAACTACAAATTTGGTTTAAAGGAAAAAATGGAAGTGTCCCTGAATAGATTTTCATATAAGACTAGAGGCCTGGTGCATGGATTCGTGAACTGGTGGGGTCCCTCGGCCTGATCTGCGGGGATTAGGCTGAAACCAGCTCTCCAACATCCCCCGAGTGGTGCCGAATTACAAGAGAGCGGTTCTTAGGTGATGCACCCTGGAATCAGGCTCCCTCCTCTCTGGTTCTGGGTACATCATCCAAGAACCGCAGTTGCCAAGTCACCGCAGCTACAAAGTCACCCCACCTACAAAGTCACCTCAGCTCTGCAGCTCCTGCATTGAGAGTCTGCCCCCTGGTGGTCATGGTGCATCACAGCTACCGGACAGTCGGATGGTCAGATGGTCAGACTGTCACTTAGGCTTTTATATATATAGATAGCCCGTGGATACTTCTCTGGGAAGAAATCTTTATCTGATCTAGTTTTAAATACTTTGATTTGAGTCCCAATAAAGGGAAACATTTGCCATTTTACTCATCAATACTTCAATGTAATGGGGCAAGGAAAAAAAAGTTTAGCAAAGAGCTTGATGGTGTGCTAATTCCTGGCATTGTATATGAGTTTGAGTTGACTTTGAAAGATGCTTTTAAAACATGCATGGATGATGTAGTTGAAACTTAGGTTCCATTTATTATTTTTACTGCAACTTTCTTTAATTCTACAGAGAACTCAAACTAATGAGTCATGTAATAGATGACCAAGTACTTAAGCAGAATGTGAAATGGTACTAGGTGGGGATATAAAATAAAATTTGTGACAAGCTGAATTCATTTATTTTTTTAAGTAGATATAGAGGGTGAAGGAGTGACTGGAC